CGGAGGCTACCTGCTCAACTTCATAACAATAAGGGGACTGTGCTGGAATGGACAGTTTCACTGCATGCACTACTGTCGGCAGATTCTGTGTAGCAACAGGTTATGATTTTCTCAGACCAAAGGGGCCGAAAACTACCTGGACAACTTTAATTTGGAACTCCTATGTCACACCGAAATATGCATTTCGTTTAGGAGCTAAATCTAAGCTACTAACAAAGGATAAATTGAATTACTTGGATACTAAGCGAAGGTGTGTTTTTTGTGCATCTACCGATGAGACGGAGCACCATCTGTTTTTCTCCTGCCCGATCAGTTCTGTAGTTTGGAGACGTATTCGACAATGGTTGGGTTTTAGGCATCTCATGTCTACCCTATCAAGTGCATTGAAGTGGATTAAGAAAGAGGCTAGAGGAATGACAAGGCAAAGCAAAGTTAAGCGGATCGCTCTTGCTAGCACTGTTTATCACTTATGGATGGTGCGCAATAGGGGGATTTTTGAGGATTTAAAACCTAATGCTGAAGGCATCATTTAAAGGATCAAAACACAAGTATACAAAGTCATGTTCTACTTGTATCTGTATGTTTTGATTCAATTTAAGTTTTTGGCATTAGACAATTGGTCTTTGTATTGTTCATCACTTTATGTTAGTTGTTTAGCGGTCTTCCAGGGTATGCTAGTTGCCTTGTTGTTTGATTTCATTTGTGCTTACCCGGGGATGCCCGGTGTACTTGTAATTACTTAGACCTTTGTTTACCTGAGTATGCCCGGGGTACTTGTACAAGTGTTTGTTCAATAGTAATTCACATTTATCGATCAAAAAAATAAGGGGATTGTGTAATTAGATGAGGAAATCTAAAGGAATGCAATGTCTATTTGTCCGATGAAGGATCATAAAAAGTTGTTTTCAACAACAGAATCAATAAACGCAAGACACATTCTACTTGACCAAATCTCATTTTGCATCTTTTGCGATTTTGATAGGCATCGCATCATCACATTAGGACCAAGGAATTTGTTTGAGCACTAAACTTTGTTTGCTTTTCCATTGTTCACTACTTTCGTATATAAGGGGGCAACATCGTGGAACAACCTTCTCTCAACATGCCGGTGCCCAAAACAAAAGAATTGAAAGATTATTAGGAAAGGATATGATCTTGATCCTAAATTGGAGGAGAATAGATTACCATACTAGAGTTAAGAAAAAGGTTGATGGGTGCTTTCTCTTTCCTTCCAAATCAAGGATAAAAATGATCAAAAACTGATTATCATAGAATGAAGAATCTAACTAGAAGTTTTAGAGGTAAAAGTTTAACATCCTCGAATCGAGAGTAATAAGGCCCTGTTTGTCGGCCTTTAATTTCAAAAATTGAAGTATGGAGTAGTGATTGGTGTTAAAATGTGTTATTAAAAAAGAAGGAAATCTTTTTGATATATTTGTAATATTATTCTAATGGAAAATGTATGGTTGAAAATGAGTACTGTAGAAAAAATAATGTGGTAGAATATAGGAGAATGGTTGACTAAGAAGGGCTAAATAAGCTCGCATTTCCTACAACATTGTGTGTTTTATTTTGAAGAAAGAAGCACATTGCGTGCCGTGAGCTCATCAAAACAAAATTGATTAGGATCACAAAGGATAGCATCAAATTGGAAATTTGTATTTATGGTTTCTAAGCCGGGACACAATTCGGTTGGGATCGAATCCGAATAAAATTTAAAATTCCTCAACATTTCGAGGTGAAAAGAGGCGCGCGATATGAAGCTCGTCATTGGAGAAATTGGCTGATGGCCTAAGTCCAAACCACTCTCCGACCCACCACGCGTCGGAGCATGCATAGGCCTGGAATCCCAGCCTTCATTTCTAGTCCCATTCTGTTCATACATATATACATACAGACAGAGAAAAGAGAGAACTCAAGTCAGCACATAGACAAAGAGGGTGTAGTTTTACCGCGTTCTTATCCTTACTTCATCTTATTTCTTTTGATGGTGCTTTTTAGGCTGGAATTGCTCTCAGATGTGAAGAAATCAAAGTTCGTTCTGAATTCTCTTTCTTCACTTCAGATTTAGACCACTATTCCAGTTTGTTGATTACAGAACTGGTATGGCTCCATTTCCCTTTTCCCTTTTTTGTTTCGCTTACGCTGATCTGTGTTCAATTTAGGGTTTATCGAAATTGTATGAGTCTCGATTATGGATCTCTCCCCATTTTTCAATGTGTAACATCACAATAGAAATGCTGTATTTTTTTTATGACTGTGGCTGTCCAGGCAGCTTACGCACACCTTGACTAATCCCATGGCGTTGAAGTTTGCCACTCGATACTCGTCCAGATGGACTCAAACTGGTGAGCACTGGGGAGTAAACCCAAGCCTTGACCAATAGAAATGCTCTATAGCCCCCTGATGTCGATAGATTTTGTGTTCTGTGCTTATGTTGAATTGGAAGGAATGAAAATAAGTAAGGATCAAGTATGATTGCATAAAGAGAGGTGTGGAAGGCCCAGGATCTTATGTTGGAGCGAAAGAGAGGCTCTGGGGAGGAGCGTTTTAAGGGTTTTTGGTGAAATTTTTGTTTTCTTAACTTTTGAATGTGATCCGCTTAACAAGTTCCTTGAGATTGTTGAAGTTGGTGACAAAATTTTCCAGGCTCCGCTTAGAATATGAGGTAGAACTAAGAGAGATGAAAGTCTCTTTTGGCAAGAATTGGGAGACTTTAGAGAAAAAGTACTTGTAGTTGTTCTGTGTTTTTTTAAAATTAAGCGGGAAAGCTATAGGCATGAATCTTGTATGCCGAAGTGGAGATTTCCAGCTTTCCAATTGCTCCTAGAGTGTCCCGCCTACAGGCCTTTTAGCATATACATCCTTTCAGCGATTGTCAGTTGTGACTGGCTATTACCTGGTCGATTTCCAAGTACTTGATCACATTGACATCAGTGTGCTTGCTGCTAGTGGTGTCAAGTAAGACAAAAATGAATGGGAGAGGATCGTGAAAAGGGAATGGGGGAAGGCGGCATGTGTGATGGGGTAAGGTATTGTTAGTTGAAGCTACTGATGATTGGAGAAGAATGCCTTCTGCAATAAGGTTATAACAGGCATTTGATGTCTAACAAATGCCTTTTAAATGAAAACTTTTAAAATTTGTTTTTACTTTGACATGTGATAATGGAATGTTCTAAAAAAAATTTCGGTTCTGTTATGGTTTTGTAACTTCCCTTGTTTAGAAATACTTACAAGGCCTATGCAAACGAGGCCATTCAAGGGTCGTCGACACCATAGATTGAATATAAACTAATCATTGATCTGGATTCGGATCTGCAACCTCTCAGTTTCCATCATTCTGGTTGATATCTATTTTATTTTTAGTCTAATGACGTGATTAGATTTTGGTTTTGGCAACGTATCATTTGCCTATTGGTGTCAAAATGGGTGGGCCAACTAAAATATGTTAAGCGTGTAGCTTGTTGAAGATAAGATTTAAATAGTATACACGTGGTTTTATCTGATCGTTAATTGTTTAAGCTTTGAGATCAAGTGATTCTCGAGTCTCCACGTCGCATTTACTAAAAATTCTGGAGGCTTTAATGGGAAATATTAAATCGCACGTGTTGAAGATAAGATTTTAAATGGTATAATGTGGTATTAGTTAACAGTTTAAGCTTGAGCTCAAATGATTCAATAGCCTGCTTGTGAAAACCTGGATTAGCCGTCTACTCGACCTGTAAGGAAGGCAATTAGGCCTCGCTGTTCCTGGCAGGATAAAGAATTATCCCCTATCGGCCCGGTTCAGACCTCGGCATTTTCTACTGGGCTCAGTAAGGGCTACATGGCCCGGCTGCAGTTCTCATTTTTACACCTCTAGTCTATAGCCACGCATCAAATTTCTAAAAACAAATATGAAAATGAAACTTAGTTTCTTTTTTCGTTCTCTTTTACTGCCGCGTTATTGCACGTGACAGTTTTGCCTGTATTTGAAGTAACTTACTCAAATTTATTTTTTCTTGATTATGGACTGGAATTCTTTTTTCCTCTAGAGTGCTTGGTATTTTATTGCTAGAAATCCTGTATTTAGACTTAAAGACCCTTTTTATCAATTGTGTAGACTTATCTCTCTTTTTTTACATGTTACACTTGCCTTTTCTTGAGTTGTTTTTTCATCTTTTAGTGCGTACAATTTTTGTTAGTGCTTTACTTTTACTTTTGGCTCGAAACTCATATATTCTTGTTATCATCAAACCTGTACTAGTCAAAAGTTGGGCCAGGTATTTATACGATCATTTTTTGATACAATGATTTTTTATGGCATTTAACTGCATGGACTTTTTTGTTGCTGTTCCTTGAAGGCCGGGCTTGTTTTCATACTTGACTCGAGCAAATCAGAGACTCTTGACAAGCAAAGCCAAGATATTGTAAGACAAGGATACTAAAACGTTGTTCATGACAAACAAATTGTCCCCAGATAATCCCATAAAAAATTTTGCAGTCAAATACAATTTAGAAGATGACGTCAAATCAATTCTTAATCAACATTAAAGACCATGGTGTTACGGTAGATCCACTGAAGAATAGAGTCAAATGTAATTATTGTGACAAAGTTGTTGGTAGCTTCAGTCTCCTCAAATATCACTTGGGAGGCATTCGGGGGGAGGGGACCCCTTGCTATGAAGTTCCCGTTGATGTGAAGGAAATGTTCAATAGCGAGGTTTCTCTAAAGAAACAAATAAAATTAAGCAAGGAAGTTGGAGAATTGTACTGCCCGCCCCTTCCATTGAGGAGGAGTAGGGGCCTTCAGACAGATTCAATAAAGTCCAATATGACAAATCTCTCCGACACAGAGGGTTCTGAGACTAAACGGCATTGTAAAAAGGACTGTCGATTAGGTAACGGTATGACAGAAACTGTCCCTTCTCCCAGGAGACTTTCAGAGATGCCCGCCAGTAGCACAAGAGATTCATTATTGAATGAGTCTAAAAAATGTACAGGTAGATTTTTTTTATGAGATGGTAGCTGATTTTAACGCTGTCAAATCACCTAGCTTCCTCACAATGATCAACACCACCCTTGGCAGTGGGCATGTAATTCCCAGCTGCGATGAGTTAAAAGGGTGGATCCTTGAGGATGTGGTAAAAGAGATGCAAAATTATGTGAAAGAGATAAAAAATTCTTGGGAAATTACTGGTTGCAGCATCATATTAGATGGTTGGGTAGATGAGAACGGTCGAGACCTTGTCAATGTTTTAGTGAATTGCCCAAATGGTGCAGTTTATCTTAGATCGTTTGATATTTCAGCTTTTGTTGGGGACATCGTTGCCATGCTATTGTTCCTGGATAGGGTTTTGAAGGAAGTTGCGGTTGAGAATGTGGTTCAAATTATTACATATTCGACATCAGCCTTCATGAAAGAAGTGGGAAAGCAGCTGACACACAAGCATAGGCATGTTTTCTGGATAGTGAGCGCTTCTACTTGCTTTGAACTCATGTTAGCGAAATTCGAAAGTATGAGTTTCATTAGAGAGATATTGGAGAAGGCCAAAATGATAACAAGATTTGTTCAGAAACATTTGAGTGCCTGAAACTTCTGAGAGCTTATAATCGGGTAGATAAACTTTTAGAGCCTTCCAAGATTAAGTCGACAGTGCCCTACTTAACACTCGAGAATATTGTATTGGAGAAGAAGGGTTTGAAAAACATGTTCGCTTCATCAGATTGGAAAACCTCAGATCTGTCAGATTCCGTCGAGGGGAAAAGAGTCGCTTGCTTGGTAGAAGATCCTACTTTCTGGAATGGGGCATTAATGGTTTTGAAGGCAGCTATTCCTATAGTGCGGCTGTTATGCTTGATATACAATAACAATAAGCCTCAAATTGATCTTATTGTTGACACACTAAAAGTGCAACCCAAGTCGAATAGCCCAAGGAATGAAGCCCAATTGGACAATTCAGGATAAAAGCCCAGATAGGGTTATTAATGAATGCAGTGGAAGATCACGAACACGGTAACATCATCGTCCAAGCCTGCAAGACACCCAAGATCTGAGCGAATGAAGTGCCTTACAGTCGCCCAGAGCTATGACCCTGTTCTGCCCAAACCTTCGAATCGCCCAGGATCTTAGCAAACATAAGATGTTATGGTTATCCAGAAGTGCAGTTATTGAGTAACCTTATCACGTTCCACGATTCAAGGAGTTCAATTGAAGACGGTTGAACAACAAAGAGTAGTGGCTGCAGTTAGAGACAGCAGTTCCACGACAAGTTAGCCACCATAAAGAAAATGGGTAGTTATAAAGCAATCAAGCAGTTTCTAAGCGGTTGATCACGAAGAAATCATCAAGGGAATATAAAAGGAAGAGAAGACATAAGAGCAAAGGCCCCCTAATCAAACACTCTCAAACAGAGAATATGTAATTTCAATTTCTTAGTTTAGACTTAACATTTCTTTTCAGTACTCGTGTGCTTGCGCCCCTTGGAGGCATTCTGTTTAGTCCCAATTGTAAAGTCATTGCCAATAAAACACCCCTTTTTGGGACATTGTCTCAAGAGGTTTGTTCCTTACACAATCGTCTGATTTAATTTTTAATTGTTAGCGACTACCCGCATGAAACAATTTGGCACGCCCAGTGGGACTTTGATGTTTGGTGTTGGAGATACAAAAGGTGAAACAATATGCCTCAAAAATTTGATAAGGAAGCAAGTCAGAGAGGAGTCCAGTCTGTGAACGAGCGATATGAGGAGGAACATAGCTCTCCACGAACAGATGGACAAAGTTAGAACAGTCACAGTCGTTACGAACCGATGACAGAGTTGCCTCGAACCATGCGTGCATTACTTGGAGAACTCACAGAGGATGTCGTTGAACAGGTAAATCTACAAAATATTCATAATGTGGAAAGATTTACCCAGAATGGGAATGCACATTATGTCAACATGGCCAAACAACTGAATACTTTGAACGAAATAATGAATAAATTGGTAGGCCAAATTTGTCAGCCAGTTGTGCCTCTTGTAAATCATTTTCAAACTAGGACAATTGTGGGACATAATCCCTCAGTCCTAAGTCCAAATCAAGGGGTAGAACCACCTTTTGGTCCCTCTACTTTAAACCAAGGGGATGGTGTAATGTCAAATAAAAGTAGTGGCAATGGTACATCTAACTTGGGGGGTAACCTAAACGTAAGAGACAATGTCCTAAATAATGGACAGAATGCCCCGCGTGTTAATGATGGAATAAATATTCAGGCTAATGGTAACAATAGCCCAAATCATGGCAACTTTGTTGCCAACCAAGGACCAAATATTAGGACTCAAGCAAATCAACCGGTCAACCAACCTGTAGGAATTTCATATGACCCCAACGTCATGTTGAGGAATCAAATTATGGAAATAATACAGGATCAGATGGCTTTTGGGGTACGTCCTACCATCAGGCCGACTTACACAAAGTCATATCTTGATTGGGTAGACCAAGCATATCCATGGCCTAGAGGGTATAAAATGCCAGAATTCTCACTATTTACCGGTTTAGGAGAGGTGTCTACTCTAGAACACATAGGGCGATTCACACTGCAAAGTGGTGACGTAACTGATTACCATAAAATGAGGTTATTCTCTAGTTCATTAACATGAGTAGCTTTCTCCTGGTTCATCAATTTGCTAGCAAACTCGGTTTAGACATGGCAACAATTGGAGCAATTGTTCCACGCTCAATTTTATAAGACAGAGTCCGACATTACTTTGGCCGATTTGGCGAATCTACATCAAATGCCAAACGAATGGGCAGAAGGTTTCCTTCAAAGGTTCAAGACAGCAAGAAGTAAATGTTTTGTACCTTTGTCCGAAAAGGAGTTTGTCAAAATCGCTCAAGGTTGTCTAAACTTTGATTTGAAAAAGAAGTTCCAAGACAAGGAATTTCCTGATCTTTTCCAATTGAGCACGAACGTGATTAGGTATGAACGATTAATAAAAGAAGAAGAGCAAATAAAAAATTCTAGCAAGGGGACTTATTATAGAGACCCAAATTTTGATGTTCATGCCATTAATGACGAGTATTACGATCAAACCAAAATGTGTTTGACCGAATTAATCAAAGGAGACGTGTATACTTGTCCTATAATGGCTAAGCCTAAACCGTCGGGCAAGGATGATCTTATAAAAGATGAAAACAAAAAGGCTAGAACGTTCTCGTTCAATGTAACCAAAGCTGACCTTATATTTGATAAACTATATAAGGATAAATAGATAAAGCTTAGCGATAAACATAAATTGCCAAGCCCTGAACAAGTTAAGGGTAAAAAATATTATAAGTGGCATAATGCATGGTCACATCTGACTAATAACTGTTTGGTTTTTTGCCATGTGTTATAGGATGCCATTGAATTAGGACGAATTATGTTCGAGGATAAGAGAAAGATGGCAGTGGATGAAAACCCTTTTCCACAGCCACTTGGGGTGAACATGGTGACGATTGGTTTCAAAAACAAGTTGCCAAACTTCAAGTTAGTTATAGATGACGGGGAAGAGGACCCTGGACCACATCCCAGTGTCTTTGAATATATCAAAGGGAAAGAGCCTGAAAAGGATGAAGACGTCCTGTGTGCAAGATGTAAAAGAGAAGTGAGTGGGAACACAGAGAAACTAGGGATATGGCAGCATCACCATCGCCCTAGTTTTTTCCCAAACGCTCAGCCTGGTAGAGGGCGAGGTACATCGTTCTATAGGGGACCGCCTTTTGAGAGGTAGTTCAGGCCAGTGGATAATACGAGAACATTCAGGCCGCAGCCTCACCAACCAAATGTATGGCATTCATTCCAGTATAATGCAGGAAGGGCGATACCCTTCAACGAGATGACTAGAACCCAACAAAGGCATTTTCAACAGAACTATGGACGAATGACGAGGCAACAACAAGAATGCCACGTCCTACGGTGCCTAAGCTACTCGAGGTGGCCAATCAAAGTATTCTCGAAGACAGTGAGGAGACTGGTACAGGTGAATCGATGAAAGAATTGCCAGAAATTTCTTCTAGAAGGTCAAAGTTTGAGCGAGACAGAAGAGATGGAGAAGATTCAGATCAGTCCCTTACTATTCAGTTCGGTACACTACCTCCTGTCATGGCTAATAACTATTTGCTAGCTAATGAGTTCAAGAATAAAGAGAAAGAAGAAGAAGAGAGGGAGGATAACGAAGAAGCATGCATGCTGGAATATGAAGAAGGCCAAACTTCTAGAGGGGCATATGATGATGAAGGAGATGATGGTATGACAAATATTGAAGAGGAAATTGATTTGGAAGCAGAAAGAAGAAAAAGAGGAGTATCGTACAATACTCTGTTGAAACAACTACATCGAGAGGGGGTTCGTGAAGTGGACTTGTTGGGGGAACCGTCTGGGCGTTCTTTCGATTATTACGTGCTGTACGGGACACCCAAAAGAAAAAAGAGAGTTCCTCGCTCTGAAAAGTATGGATCACCTCCAAAAATAATGCCTCCTTCCACGGGTTGGGTAACTGAAGAAGAAGCATTAGAAAACAGAAAAAAGGAAATTCAGAAAATGGAAGCTCAGTGCGACATGCTGCATGTTGACTTATCACAAAAGGACAACTCGACAGAGGATAAGTAGGAAGTGGAAATAGATGCTGTCGAAAAGGTTATTTTTAAGCGATCAGCCATGAAATTAACTAAACACTTGAGACCATTGTATGTTAAAGTTCTAGTTAACGGCAAACCTGTGGCAAAAGTGATTGTCGATAATGGAGCAACGATAAACACCATTCCATCTAGGATGATGAGAAAATTTGCAAAGACAAAAAGCGATATGATCCCAACAGAAGTCGTCCTTACGAGTTTCAATGGAGGAGCAACTTCAACTAAAGGGGTTATGCCATTGGACATAACTATAGGGACAACTATTAGGACCACAGTCTTCTTTGTAATAGATGGTCCTAGTAGTTACAATGTGTTATTAGGAAGGGATTGGATACACGAAAGTTGCTGTATACCCTCATCGCTCCATCAATGCCTAATTTTTTGGAATGACAAAGGCGAAACAGAAGTGGTGCAGGCCGATCATAGACCTTTTGTCGTAGAAGCAAACTCAGTAGAAAGGTTCATGTACGAAGGAAATTATGGGCCTGTCAGAGTAGTCCAAGATGGAGAAGAAACTCAAATTATCGCACAGAGTGAAGAGCCATTTTCGGTGAATGCACTCACTGAAACGTTCAGTCAGATGAGGCCAAACATAGTGGCCCTAGAAGAGCCAGTAATTTGCAAAAGAGTAATCAAGAAGTTTTAAATGAGTTGCAAGCAACCAAGGCAAATGGCCGATATTCAGACCTTCAAAGCCAAATTAATGGCTTTCAATAAAGAATGCAAGGACAAGATGAAAGAAGAAGCAGCCTTGAAAGCATTGAGAGACAAATTGGTAGTGTTCGAGTTGGAACAAAATATTGGCCAAGAAGTCAACAAGGTGGATTGTTTAGAAGAAAAAGTGCTTATAAGGGAATTAGACGATGAAGTAATAGGGATCACCAAGCCTGGATACGCTCAAGCACAAGACCCTCTGATTAAAGTGAATATTGGCAATGAAGGGGAAGATCGCCCAACCTTCGTCAGCCAGATGCTCGATCAAAAGGTTAGTGATAAATTAATCGCTTTATTAAAAGAATATAAGGATTGTTTTGCGTGAGAATATGAACATATGCCTAGTTTAGATAGAGGTTTGGTGGAACATAGATTACCAACCAAGTCGAACTTTAAACCTCATAAACAACCTCCTAGGCGTTTTGCTCCTAATGTACTCCTTGAAATTAAGAAAGAAATAGAGCGATTATTAAAAGCAGGCTTTATTAGAACAGCCAGATATGTCGAATGGTTGTCCAATATCGTGCCAGTGCTAAA